CCCTCTATATGGAATTCACACATTCCTCCGGGGACAATGCCAAAGTGTGACAGATCTGATTGTGCCGGTATGTACCTGAGGATTTATCTGCATTCCTCCTCGTCTCACTAAACCCCCCACAGCTCCCCAGACAAAACCAGAATCAAATGTGTCTGGATTGGAGTGACGGGGGTTGGTTATTTACATTCAGAAGAGGGCAGGCAGAGACTCGATTCCTGGTTTGGGTTTAAGGCACTTGGTGGGGATTTTTTTTTTGTCCTCAAACAGTTTGAAGAGTGTTTTCTTTTTTCAACCATTTGGATTTAAAATTGAAAACACTCTGATGTTATTACAAACAAATGGAGAGGGTTTTGTGCAGAGCAGAATGTTGAAATTCCCTCTTGTGTGCCAGATTCTGTGTTTCTCCAGTGACATTAACCCTGAGATACAAAAACAAAAGACTTTGCTTCCCAGGAGAGAAAATTTGCATCTGTGTCTGAGTGTGGTGTTTCTTGGAAACCATCTTTTAAAGAGAGCCAAATCCCCCCAAAAATAAAATGTAAAAAACTGCACTTTTGTAAAAGTTTGACAAAAACAAAGTTCTTATTTAGGCAATGTTGAACTGAGAATACACTTTAAAAAGAGTTTCCCACTGGGACGTATCCCCCTTTCTTTTAATCACACGTTTTTAGAAAAAAAGTGATACTAGTGGGATGGCTCCTTGTTTTTCCCCACATTGTTTATGTACAAAAAAAATTAAAACTATGCTTTTCAACAGTAGGCATTTGCTGTTCTCTAATCCTCCTTTCTTTGAAGCTTTAGATGTTTGGAGACAGATCTGAACTGTCAAACACAACAGTCTTTCTTTTTTTGGAGAGTTAACGTTGATCTAAATCCAAATGTAAAATCAATGGGGAGTCTTATAATAAAGCTTATTTCCTAGATTGCCCTCGCACTTACCTTATGTACGGTACTGTTGCTGTAGTTTTTCTGATACTGTATTAATGAATAACTAATAGTATCATGTCAGTATAAATACAGTTGGTCCTGTTCCAGTGTAGAACAGGACCAACTGTTCTAGGAAAGACCTGAGTCTGTACTAGTTTGTAGGATGATGACTGGTGGCTACGTAAAAACATTTGAGAACAAATTCTTCCTTCAGAGATCACATGATGCCAGCCATCATGGGTGGAGGAAGTATGAGTGGACAAGGAAGGAGTAAGAGGAGGAGGAAGACTATGGAGGGGGAAGGAGGGGGGGTAGGATGGTGGAAGGGAGGGGGTGCAGTCATTCAGAACAGCTGAAAAAAGGGGAGGAAGGTGGGAGGAAGAGGGAGGTAGGGGTGGTCCTAACGTGACATGTGTGTCAGTCTGTTGAAATGTGTGTGTAGCCCTCCTTTCTGGTCATACTGAGTGAGGAGAGACACAGGGAGAGGGAAGGAGAACGAGAAGAACAAGAGAAAGGAAGGAGAGTCAGGACAGGACCAGGTCTAAGAAGAAAAGCTCAGATTTAATGAGTGCAGACAAGTGAAGCCACACAAAACAGAGCCTCTACCAAACAGATCTTATTTGGGTTTTTTTAAATTAATCTATTTTTATTAAATAATCCAACTTTATTTTTGTATATTCTTCTGACAATTTGGAGAGCTCTGAACCTTTACCAATGCTTGGGACCATCACTTTAACAGGTAAGAAAAATGGTTTATTTTATTATTTAACTTATAAGAACTAATTTGATTGAATGTGTTACATTCTACAGCAAATATATTTTACAAGCTGACTGTATTATATTTAAAGATTTTCATTGATGGTCAACACATTGACCCTCAAAGCAAGTAGTTTGTCCTCTGAGGTTTAGCTGGAGGCATTGTTGTTCTGAGGGTGTGGTGACTTTGTACTGTGTTGGGTGGATGTCCCGGCACGAGTGGGTGAAGGAGAAGGCTTTGTGATGAGATAAATTATATTTAAAAGTTGAAATATTGATTGACTACCTGTAGCTTTCAGGTTTTTGGGCTCTCATTATCAACTTTTCTAAATATTGGCTTTGAAAATCATGTCCACTGTTTGCAGTAGTCTCCCCTTCTTTAGAAGCTCTTTGGTTAAAATTGTTTATACCCTGTACAAAAACATTTACAGTGCTGTAACCACTGTTTCTACCCCAGGACCAACCACCAAAACCTCTTGGTGGGAAAAGAATTTCACACGGTGACAGCTGCCAGATAGAAATATACAAGTCTGAATTCAAAGAAATACTCTCAGAGCATGCCTTCAGATTATTTGGCTTTTTCCAGGTAGCTCCCAGCATCCCGTCATGTGAAGTATTTCATTAGATTAGAGTAGAATTCCCTAATTCCCAGTGGGGTTTTTCAGTTTAGCCACACAAAGGAGGGAGGGGACAGAGAGGGACGTATGGAATTAATTACATGCCAAGACCAATTCCTCTTCTGGCTTTTATAATTGGATTGAAGGATGAATTTGAGCAAAGTCACAGTTTAAGCTTTAAATCCTACATGTCCACAATCAGTACTTATAAACATGTTTGTTTTCAGTCAGAGCACTTGAAGACATGCTGGTACCTCGGAGTCTGAGTGGATGTTGATTAGACACCGGGGACATTTTCAACATTGGGTGTTAAAACCACTGTGCTTGTTAATGTGTGGGTTAGTCTGGAGCCACAGAGACACTTCGACCACACCTTTGATACAGAGCAGGGGCTTGGGGTCCAGTTGGGGGGAGGGGACGTGACATCTTTTGTTTGGAGGGTTTTTACCCCAGACAACATGATAAAACCCTGGATCTGCATACATGCATTTAAAGGTTTGCATCTCCTTGGAGTTGTGGGGCCAAACATAGATGCATCCAGAGTTCGTAAAGATCTCATCTCCATGATAAACAAGCCAAACGCTTACTGTGGTTTAATAAAATATCCCACAAAGTTGTATACTTGTAAAGTTTGTTTACACTGATGGCATAACATGTCTCCTTTAACATTTCATATAACAATGAGGTCTTAGGACAGTTGTCTTTGAAACAGAGTTGTAGGTATGATATCAGTTTCTAGGTAAATGAATAACACAGATTTTTTTTCCATAGGAATTATTGGGTTATTTAAACTAGAGAATGCAATGTACAGGCAATGTTTATACAAATGCACACATTCACTATAGTGTTGTAAAAGCCACTATAATAACAGTATCTGAATTAGCAGAGTGCATTTAGCAGCAATTGTCTGTCTGAACTGTGGGCTGACGATATTTGATACTGGAGCATCATTTTACGACCCACTCTTAGATTGGTGCGTAAACAAAGCCAGTCTCCAGCAGAGACAAGCATTTCAACTATGGATGTGTCTGAGTCTCTCAGATATGCAACACCCTCTAAAGTGAGTAAGGGCCACAGCCTTAGGGCAGCTAACCCCCATCCTCTCTCTCTGTCCCCTCAAACCCAGCCCTTCATCTCTTAACTGTCCCCAACCAAACCCCCGCTGCCGAAAACCCCCTCCTCACATTCACATTCTTTCTATAGTACAGTCGTTATTCAGAACACCCACGCTCCCTCCTCTCACTCCTCCCATTTAAACCCAATCAATCTGGGGGATGTTAACAGTTGTGTGTCTGTTTAAGAAAAAAAAGTTTGCTCAGAGACCACATCAAAAGGATGCGAGGATTCCAGTAGTCTGTTAAATCAACATGGTTCCTGTTTTACTATTCATGTAGATGCTTATAGACTCACTAACAGTCTGACCCT